AAAAATTCTCTGGGCTGAAAGCGGTGATGTTCAGGTCTGACGTACCCCGTCTGGGAGTTAAGAAGCCACGCAGAGCGCTGGGCGAAGGGGAGTGTTGGGTGGACACACCAAAAACCCGCATCTTCGCTGCCGTGTTGCCTCCAGGCCAGGACACACCACCTCCGTGGCAGGTCCCAGCTGGCCCAGGCAGGGGCTCAGCAGCTCAAGAGAACAGACAGAGGCTGCTCCAGCAATAATTCGTGCCCACTTGGAAGGAAACAGGCCCAGGCTGTCCTGCCCGGCTTAGTTTGAATGTATGATCCGCGTAGAAAAAATAGTTTATCTGCTAAACCTCCCAGCTTTTCTCTCCCTCACCAAGTCAATTAGGATTAAAATCTCCATTGCAGGAGGGGAAGGAGGGTGGCTAAATTGATGGCTAAATCAGTCTGGGGTTTGGCTCTAAACAGGACCTAGTCTGGCCCTGTCCCGGGCCCTGGGTGTGGGTCCTTTGGGGTTTGTGCTTGGTTCCTGGCTTTAAAATGGTCAAGAGTTTCCTGCCCCCTCCCAGCTACTCCGTCAGCTGCTGGAGATGTTTCTTACAGGATGGGGCTGTGCTTTCAGCGCAGTGAGAAGTGTTTACTGAAAGCAAACCTCCCTGGGCTGCCTTAAGGCACAAGATGACAACCGATTTCTGGAAACCAGCATTTCTGGGTGAGATTGTAACATCCTTCTCCAGCCCTCCCTGCTCGGTGTCCCGTCTTTAACATGACACTCGAAGTGTCAGCCTGACTTGACCGGGGAAAATCCAGAAGGAAAGTGCAGAGAACTGCCCTAGGGCAGAGGCAAAGCTGGGGGCGAGTCCACATTTCCCAGCCCTGAGCCATTATCGCTGAATGATAATGGTCCATTAGCCACCCTGGGGCCAACAGCATCGTCCAGCACCTTCCAGTCACACGTCTGGGAAGTAAATGCTGATTCTCCCACCCCTGGAAAAAAGCACTTCACACTGCCTGGTTTTCTTTCCCACTTGCTGTGTCTTGCAACCGGATTACACGAGCCGCAGGGCTGCGGGAGCCTCTGTGCGGACCCTCCTCCAGCTCCTGGAGGGTGGGACGCGGATGCGCAAGCAGAGCCCCGGCAGCTTGGTTTGCTCAGCCACCCAGGGCCGGCGGCTTTGCCAGCCCGCGGTCGGACTCCTGCTGGTCTCTGTCCCTCTCTAGTGGCTGTTGCACAGCTCAGTCACAGGAGCTGCCGGCAGGGTTTGAACGGGATGCAGAAATGCCAGTCAAGTGACATCAACAAATTCCAGGAGAACGGATTTTATCAAACAGTTGTGGAAAATCATTTCAAGACGACTTTCCATTCCGACAAAAACTGGTCAGCTCATCCTCACGGACGCGACTCCTGGGTCATTTTATGAACTCACAAGCCAGCACACCGGTTCAGGGCAAACAGACTCCGCTTTATCCCAGTGGAAGGTAGATTTTGACCTGTCTGGAAGGATTTAGCGTGGAGTTCCCATTTCTGAGTGATTTTTGAAACATCAGTGTCATTCACCGGTGCTGAGATGAAAGGGCAGTTCAGGCCGTCAGCAAGAAACCCATTTTTTTGGTGGTTGCCAAGTGGTCTGTTTCCCATAGAGCTTTTATCAGCAGGTTGTTCTTGCTTTGAGGGGGGGTGTTGCAGCAGAGGCCCCCGAGGTCCTTCCCAGCCTTGGTTACTCTGATGCTACAATCAGAGTCCATATGATCACACCTTCCCCGCAACACAAGGTGGTTGGATTTCCATCCTCACACCGTGCACAGGGGCAGGGAATTAAGATTTCACTTGCAGACTTGTCCTGTAACAGCCTGTAACAGAAGGGAAAAGAAAACCCAGACCCTGACAGGATAAAACACAGTCCCCTTCCCACCTAAGGCAGAGGGCTTGTGCAGCAGGCCGAGCGCTGCTAGATCACGCTCTGAGCTCTGATGTTGGTGCTGGTCACCCAGGTCGCTCAGCCTCATATCCTTGGAGGGAGGGAGCTCTCCATCGTTCCCATACCAGCTCTGTAGGTCAGGTCAGAGCATTTCCCCACATCAACTGTGACCTCCCAGGGAGAGCCTGGAGAGAAGGTTTTCAGAGCTGGGGGACAGAGACATTCCTCAGGGCACGTGCTGCAGTGAGAGCCATCAATCATCTCCACCTCCCG